TTAGAACTGAATCATAGAAGTGTAGGTCTGGAAGGGACCTCATAGGTCATCTAGTCCAGTCCCCTGCACTCATGGCAGGACTATGTAATAACTAGACCATTCTTGACAAGTGTTTGTCCACCCTGTTCTTAAAAACCTCCAATGATGGAGATTCTGCAACCTCCCTAGGCAATTTATTCCAGTGCTTAACTACCCTAACAGTTAGGAAGTTTTTCCTAATGTCCGACCTAACCCTCACTTACTGCAATTTAAGCCCATTGCTTCTTGTCCTATCCTCAGAGGTTAACAAGAACAATTATTCAGCATCCTCCTTGTAACAACCTTTTGAAAACTGCTATCATGCCCTTCCCGCCCTAGTCTTTCCTTCTCCAGACTAAACAAATCCAATTTTTTCAATCTTCCCTCATAGGTCATGTTTTCTAGACCTTTAATCATTTTTATTGCTCTCCTCTGGACTTTCTCCGGTTTGTTTACATCAGCGGTTCTCAGACTGTGGGTCAGGACCGCAAAGTGGGTCCCGACCCCCTTTGAATGGGGTCACCAGTGCTCACTTAGACTTTCTGGGGCTGAGGTCTGAAGCCCTAGCCCCACTCCTCAGGGCCGAAGTCAAAGCCCAAAGGCTTCAGCCCTGGGCGGCAGGGCTCAGGTTGCGGGCACCCTGGCTAGGGGCTGAAGCCCTTCAGCTTCAGCTTTGGCCCCTCTTCCCAGAGCGGTGGGGCACAGACTTTGCCCCCCACTTCCAGGCCAATGGGGCTTGGGTGGGCTCAGGCTTCGGTCCCCCTTCCTGGGGTTGTAAAGTAATTTTTTTTGTCAGAAGGGAGTCATGGTGCAATGAAGTTTGAGAACCCCTTGTCTACATCTTTCCTGAAATGTGATGCTCAATAATCCTGCTGAGGCCTTATCAGTGCATAGTAGAGTGGAAGAATCACTTCTTTTGTCTTGCTTACAACACTCCTGCTCATACATCCCAGAATGATGTTTGCTTTTTTTTTTTGCAACAGTGTTACACTGTTGACTCATATTTAGCTTGTGATTAACTGTGACCCCCAGATCCCTTTCTGCAGTACTCCTTCCTATGCAGTCATATCCCATTTTATATGTCTGCAACTGATTGCTCCCTCCTAAGTGGAGTATTTTGTATTTGTTCTTTATGAATTTCATCCTGTTTGCCTCAGACCATTTCTCCACTTTGTCCAGATCATTCTGAATTTTAATCCTATCCTCCATAGCACTTGCAACCCCTCCCAGCTTGGTATCATCCACAAATTTTATAGGCATACTTTCTGTGCCATTATCTAAATCATTAATGAAGATATTGAACAGAACCCGATCCAGGACCAACCCGTGCAAGATCTCACTTAATATTCCCTTCCAGTTTAACTTTGAACCACTGATGACGACACTCTGGGAATGGTTTTCCAACCCTATAGAACTTCATCTAGGTTGTAGTTCCCTAGTTTGTTTCTGAGATGGTCATGCGAGATAGTATCAAAAGCCTGACTAACATCACAATAGACCACATCTACTGCTTCTCCTCTATCCACAAGGTTTGTTACCCTGTCAAAGAAAGCTGTTAGATTAGCTTGATGCAATTTGTTCTTGACAAATCCATGCTGACTGTTACTTATCACCTTATTATCTTCTAGGTGTTTGCAAATTGATTGCTTGATTATTTGCTCCATTATTTTTCCGGATACTGAAGTTAAACTGTCTGGTCTGTAATTTCCTAGATTGTCCCTATTCCCCTTTTTATAGATTGACACTTATATTTGCCCTCTTCCAGTCCTCTGGAATCTCTCCTGTCTTCGATGAGTTTTTGAAGATAATCGCTAATGGCTCAGATATCTCCTCAATCAGCTCCTTAAGTATTCTAGGATGTATTTCATCAGGCCCTGCCAACTTGAAGATCTCTGACTTGTCTAATTTTTAATTTGTTCTGTCCCTATTTTAGCCTCAGATCCTGTCTCATTTTCACTGGCATTCACTATGTTTGATGTCTGATCGGAAGTAACCTTTTTGGTGAAAACTGAAACAACCATTTCCACATTTTCTGTTGTTGTCTTTTCCCCCTCACTGAGTAATGAGCCTACCCTATCCTTGGGCTTCCTCTTGTTTCTAATGTATTTGTAGAATGTTTTTTTGGTACCCTTTATACCTCTAGTAGTTTAAACTTATTTTGAGCCTAGACCTTTCTAATTTTGTCCCTGAATGTGTATGGTGTTGGTATATATTCATCCTTTGTAATTTGACCTACTTTCCACTTTTTGTGAGACTCTTTCTTGAGTTTCAGATAATTAAAGATCTGTTGGTTAATTCAGGGTGGTCTCTTGCCATACTTCCTATATTTCCTATGCAGTGAGATAGTTTTTCTCTTGTGTCCTTAATAATGTCTCTTTAAAAACCTGCCAACTCTCTTGAACTGTTTTTTCCCTTAGACTTGCTTCTCATGGAATCTTACCTACCAACTCCCTGAGTTTGCTCAAGTCTGCCTTCTTGAAATCCATTGTCTTTATTCTGCTGTTTGCCTTCTATCATTCTGTAGAATTGTGATTGTTTTGTGATTGATTGTTTTCTTAAAGAGTCTCTTTTCACTCTCACACAGCTGCCAGGGCTGATCAGTGGGACCCATGAAATACATGCCTTTTGGTGCCTCAAATTTTTAGAGGGACTCCAGATCAGTTTGATGACATGGGAACAAGAGAGTAAGGTACTACCTGGGCTGCTGGTAACTGCGCTCCCTCTCTTCTGGCACATCTGCTGAGCAAGAGGTGGGGCTTCTGGTCCCATTTAGGGGAAACTCAATAACATGAGGGGGCATGATCTAGGAGACTAAGCCAGAACTTAGAGTGGGAGAATCCTTTATTCTAATAGTGTGTCTAACACTAATTAGTGGAGATAATAATGCTCATCTCTTGGGCTGCAGAATGTTAGGATTCGTTTGTCAATGTCTTTAGAGCACTATGGGTCACATATTCAAACATGCTCAGCTTTCACTGGGACTCAGTATGTTAGGTGCTGAGCAGTTTTGAAAATCTGACCATAACTAAATGTTAAGCATTATTTGAAAGAGAGAGGAAGATGGGGAGAAGCCCAAAGAGACAGTGGGATAGAAGAGAGAGCAAAGAAGCCAGAGAGATGAAAATAAGGAGAGCAAAGGTAACGGAGACAAAAGAATGGGAAACTGTGTGAAATGGGAGAAAGCTAAGGGGTGGAAAGCAAAGAGGGGTCAATAGAAAAATGAGAGAGGGAATGAGATGCTACTTTTCAAAGAAAGAAGAGCTAGCGAATAAAAACAGTGCACAGACATGAGAAAGAATAGAAAATGAATAGGGCGATGGATCAAATGGATCATTTATGGACAATGAGAACTAAAGGGGATAAATACGAGGAAGATTAGAATAAGCAAGAAGATGCACACAACACATTAGTGAATTTAGTTTATTTATGATCCACTATTTTATTGTGCTTCTTCTGCAGATATCCTATATCTAAGTTAGGGGGGGAATGAAAAGTATAGCTATTTTATTTACCTGACTATGGCTGAATACTCTGCATTCTATAGTTAAACTGTTTGAGGGAAACACCCTCAACAAAACCAAAGAAGATAACTTTAAATTAACTTGAATATGCACACAATTCTTCAGTGAATGAACTCTTCAGCTCCTAAACTTCTGGTTTATATGGAGGGGAAAAATGATGGGTTTTTTTTTAAATTGCGACTCTCTATAGCGTTAAGTCTGAGGTGACAGACTCCTTTTTCCTGCAGCAAAGGAGACTGTGGTAGCCTGAAGACTATCTTCCCCTGTGCTTTTATTCGCAAAAAGAAAAGGAGTACTTGTGGCACCTTAGAGACTAAACAATTTATTTGAGCATAAGCTTTCGTGAGCTACAGCTCACTTCATCAGAAGCTCACGAAAGCTTATCCTCAAATAAATTGGTTAGTCTCTAAGGTGCCACAAGTACTCCTTTTCTTTTTGCGAATACAGACTAACATGGCTGTTTACTCTGAAACCTGTGCTTTTATTATCTAACAACTTGAATAGATTGTTTCGTTAAATTTTCAGTGACTTCCTGCAAACAATGGAGGTGTCAGAACTTCTCAAAAAAGTTAGCAAGCATCTTTTCTAGTGAATGTTGTTAGACAACCGAAATATAGGGGTCACTACCAGACCCTGATAATTTTATTATATAATAAGACATTATTGAGGATGGTCCAAGATTTACCTTATGGGCCTTCCCTTGATCCTTATTGTGTTGCCTTGTATCCCAGTGGACAAGACTTCGTTAAATTTGGAGGGTGGAAGTGGAAGTAATTGTTTCACAGGCCCAGCCTTAAAATGTGAGAAGGCTGGTTCTGCATAAATAATTCTTACAGCATGCACTGTACGTTATATACCTTATTTCTATTCATTTGAAACACTGAATAGATTAATTTTATAAAAGCCTAATGATAAAGCAGCCATGGTCACAGAAAAGCCTTTTTCTTGATGTGTGGTTCGTGTTTGATCCTGGAAGTTGCTGTGTTCCTCATGGAAGTTGAGCATCGTTAAATTTAATTAAAAACTGCGAAAGTGCAGGCTCAAGCCCTTAGTCAAAAAAGAAGCACTTCTGGTTTCTAAAAGACATACTGTACCTATGTTGCAAAAATTGGGGGTTGGGAAGGCATGCCCTTTTTATAACATTACATTTTATTAAGCAGGGACACTAAATCATCATGTCAAAATATTATCCTTTAATTTCATTGTCATTTTCATTAGAAATTCTAACTAGGCTCTGGTGGTGTTCAAGAAGAAGGAACATGGCATTTGTAAATACCATGCACTAAGATGCAAAGGACAGTATTTTTCTGATATGCAGAGTTTGACACGTGAAAACAAATGTCTTCAGTAAACTGGCATTTGTCAAATTTAACACCCAAAAAAGAAAAAAAAAAACCTGTTAAAATAGGTTATTGGGTAGAATCCTAAAGCATGAGTCTAGGAGCATTAGAATGCACAGTGCTCGTAGCAGTGTGCTCCCTACTGCAAGTTTCCTGGGAGTGTTTCTTTTTGAACTGACACAGCAAAGTCTCCAGTTCTGAAACAGATGTTCTTCCAGCAGCTCTGAAGTAACCTTACTTGCTGGATACAATGTCATATCAAGGGGTTAGTGGTCCACCTCAGCGTTCTAAGAGGACTCACTGCTAATGAAATCAAATGCTTAGAGAAGCATGAGATGCAGGGCTTTAGCTAGTATTTTGCCTCAACTAGGGTGGTCAGTTAATTTCCACAGTACAGCACAAGGTTGCTTTTCACCTTTGCAACTTTTTTCAAAACAAAATATTGGTAAAATCCTCTAATTTCCCTCTAATCACGAACTGGCTTGAAGACTGGAATGATTTGTTTGTTTGAAGAATGTTGACGTTAGAGTGGGAGTCGGAGGGACTGCAAACAGTGGGTATTGTTGTGATTATATTTGCGTCTCTGAAGCTGCTTCATTTGCTGGGACTGATTGATTTTTCAGAAGGTAAAGTGGTCAATCACTGTTTGTGTTGTTTGTAGTATCTAGTCTGCTTAAAAGCTGTCTACGTAAAACAGACTGCTAGTCTGGTATAAAACCTGTAACGTGAAAATGCTTGAAAAAGTGAGAATAACCTGTGGACTATGAAATCTTGTTTTTGTTTCTGTTTCCTTTATCTGATATTTTAAAACAGAAGTAGAATCTAACATAGGGTTTATTATATAGTGTATTACATTTTACAGCCTGTCTGCATTGAAGTATGTTGGAAAGGTTGAAAACACATGTATTCTAACCTTTGAAAGCTGCTCACTAGTATCAAAACTTAATACATCGAGATTTATCATAGTTTGTTTCATAAAACTGAGTGCTCCTCTGCTTTGATATATGTTCTAAAAATAATTATTCTGGGGTGTGTGTGTGTGTGTGTAACCTGTTTGTTTGATTAGACTGTCTGTTCCCTATGTATATAGGGCCATAACATGCCATCTGTTTATAAACAGAACGTCCTATTAATTTCAATACCAGGTTCTGTTTAAAACTCAGTGGCACAATGCAGACCTTTGGTACAGATACTAAGCATTGTTTCATGATACTGAATATGTTAACTTCACATTGCTAATTAAATTTAGTTCTAAAAATCAAATTATACTGTCATCTACTCTAATTCCTGTCTGAATGCTGTAGTAAACAAAAACAATTTACAGCCTAAGGCTTGATTTTGTTGCTGTGCAAATACCAGATATTCACTGTAACTTCGGCACTTTCTGGTCACAGTCAGATATCTAAGAAGAACACACTAATTTTCTGAAGCATACTTTTTTTTCTTCATAGTGGGAAAAGACTGATGGAGATTTGAAAAATCACCCCATAAAACTGCTCAATGTACTGATGAAATGTGAAATATTTAACCTAGCACTTTTACAGTTACTGAACTATTTAAATAAATCATCCTTAAAACTGCATGTGAGAATTTACAACATCTGGCAACAGCAAAACTTGCTACTAAATACTTTTTATGGAAGTGTGAAATTCTTTTTCAAAGTTCTAAACTACAGGTTAATCTGTCCCTCCTAATACTCACATTTCTTTCATTTAAACTCTGGGCTGTGTAGATTTGCACATAAACATTCAGTGTTTTTAAACTTTCATCTTGCTTCATTGCATGACAACTCCAGCTTTATAATTGATGACAATAAAGTATTTATAGAAAAAGGATAAAATACAGAATTCATGAGCAATTCTGAGTTTGTCCCTTTCCTTAATTCTTCACAAAATCATATTGTGATTAAGTTTTGAGACAATCTTCTATATGTTACAGCAAATGCAGTAAATCCCCCTAAAAAAATCTGCTAGTAACAAACCAACCCTGTAAGAAATAAATAGTGCAGTGTGATATACAATAGGAAGCATAACTATTCAGGGTTAGGACTATAATTATGTAATTAACTCCAACCAATAGTGTCATGATATTTCCTCACATAATATAATAATTGTATTTAAAATCCCCCAGCAACGTGGAACTGACAGATCTGTACAGTAGAAAAACAATAACATTATAAAACACAGCAAAAACATTATAAATATTACTAGTTTGAAGAGCAGCAGTAGTTAGCAGGATTTCTTACTCCATCGTGGCCTGTTTTGTGCTCTTTCACTTATCACTTACTCCAGCAAAACTTCCCCTAAAGTTAATAGGAATTTTGCCCGTGTAAGAAATTAATAAGGAGTGCTTTGCAGGACATCTATAACTTAATGGCATTCACTGCAGCTTTGTCATTGACTTCAGTGGGACAAGGATCAGGTCCTAATAGCCAAATCCATTGGACAAAAGATAAGAAGGATTGTGTGTTTAGATCAAAATGGAAGATAAAGGACTACCCCCCAGATCCTGCAACCAGGAGGCAGGGCATGAGGCACCTGCACAAGCAGGCCAGTGCAGCAACCCTGTATTTGTTTATATTTATCGGCTTTCCTATGGCATTCATCAATGTAAGATATAAGCATCCCACCTACACTAATGAATTTGTCTTGACAACACTACTGGAAAATAGGGAAGCATTTTTATTTCTATTTTACAGTTGTGGAACTTGAAACACAGAACCTCAGCGGGTGTAAATTGTCATAACTCCACTGAACTCAATGAAATTATGACAGTGATGCATGAGAGTTTATACCAGGTGATGGTCTGCCCCGGAGAGACGTGGCTATGCTCACTCAGGAAGTCTGTGCCAGGGGTGGGATCAGAAATCAGATTTCCTGAGTCTCAGCCCAGTGGTTTACCCACAAAATTATCCTTCCTTTCTGTTTGAGATCAGTGAATTTGCACAGTTCCTGGAACAGTCAATCATACACTTACCAATTCCCCAAGCTTACTCTCTCTCCTCTCCCCCGTCTGCATGTAGCTGAAAAGGTCTTTGCTGTCCCTTTACCTGCCTCACTGCTTCTTAATCTATCCACACTGTGGAACTTGCATAATGACAGGTTTCAGAGTAGCAGCCTTGTTAGTCTGTATTCGCAAAAAGAAAAGGAGTACTTGTGGCACCTTAGAGACTAACAAATTTAATTGAGTATAAGCATAAATTTGTTAGTCTCTAAGGTGCCACAAGTACTCCTTTTCTTTTTACTGTGGAACTCTAGCACTTTATTGATTATTTAATTACTACCATTTATAATAAGATAAAAAGGCCCTTACCTACTATTCCAGGCACATTGGACATTATTTAAAGTAACTGTCCAACAAAAACAAAGCCACAGCATACCCCTGAAAATACTCCACCAAAAAGTAACGTGAGACTGGCCATATGGGTCAGACCAATGGTCCATCTAGGCTAGTATCTTGTCTTCTGACCATGGCCAATGCCAGATGTTTCAGAAGGAATAAACAGAGCAAGGCAATTATCAAGTGATCCATCCCACGTTATCCAGTCCCAGCTTCTAGCCGTCACAGGGTTAGAGACAGCCAGACCTTGTGACTGTACCCCTGACCATCTTTGCTAATAGTCATTGCTGTACAATGAACTCCATGAACTTATCTATTTTTTATCTTATCTATAACCTAGTTATACTTTTGCCTTTCACAACATCCCCTGACAGCGAGTTACACAGGTTGACTGAGAGTTGTGTGAAGAAGTACTTCCTTACGTTTTTGTTCTTCTTTGAGTGCTTGCTCAGTTTGGAGCCCCCCGTTCACAGTAGTCTACAAAGACAAGGTCCAGCTGCGGGTCCATCCGACTTTTCTGTCTAAGGTGGTGTTGCACTTCCATGTCAACCAGAATATTTTTCCTCCCTGTGTTCTGTCCAAAGCCTCGCTCCACCAACAAGGAGAGGCGGCTGCACACTCTGGATGTCAGGCGTGCCCTGGGGTTCTACCTTCTGCAGATTGACGCAGCTCTTTATCACAATAGCTGACAGCATGAAGGGCCTTCCGATGTCCTCTCAAAGAATTTCGAATTGGATCACCACCTGCATGGTGATGGACTTGTTATGAGCTGGCCCATGGTGGAATGACTGATCATAAAAGTTTTCCATATTATTAGTCACTTCTAGTCTGTGACTTCTTAATTTATCTAGTGTGTCATTGACACCGTTCTCCATAGTAGTCTTTGGGATATGTGATGTTAAAGAGGACATGGACACTGCTCAGCATGTGGATTATGTAGGGGCTTGTATGCCTGAATTGGTCATGTACAAATCTATAAATAAATGTCAAGGTTTGTAAATCAGTTGAATCAGTTCCATACGAGAACCATAACAGATTTAAAAAATCCATTATATCATCCTATTATCCAACGTACTCCTTTAGTACATTATAAGCGTGTAGGTGGGTTTGGCTCTTCCTCACTGTCAGTCTCTGAGGGATGCCATGCCCCTTTGCTGGCACACTTCTGAAACCACAGTCTAAGTAACGGGGGAACTTAGTGGTCTCTGGCTCCAACCTTTAGGCACGGTGGGCCACTGAACTATTTGTGGCTCTAAGCCCTCATCCAGGGTGGGGTACCACACGGCCTAAGACTTTAACCCTTAGGCAGGCTAGCTGCGAGTGGTCTGGGGGGTGGGCAGGCTCTCAATCAGGGCACGGCACCCAGCAAACAGTCTAGGGGGGCCAGCAGGGGTTAACACCAACCCAGTCTGTCATCTTGGTTCTGGTGGACCACAGACACCCACAGGCCTCTTCCCCTAAGGAGGAGGAGTACTGCCACCCAAGGGGTAGGGTGACACAGGCCCATGACTCCACTGCATCCCAGCCCACGGACCTAACAGTGGCAGAGTGGTCTGCCACTGGATCAGCAGGGAATGCCACTGCAATACGCTGACTGTGTTTTGGATGCCCCTTCAGCCACACTCCAGTCTGCTATCCCTGGGCTCCTTCCTCCCCTCCCCTCCAGGTGTACCTGAACCCCGGGGTCATCCTCCGTCTCCCCAGGGTATGCTGCCAGTGGCAATCCCAGCAACTCCTCAGCGTTTGGCAGGTCCGGCAGTCCTAGTACCGGGGAGGTGTCCTCGGGGCAGCAGAAGTCTTCCGTGGGTTCCGGCTCCAGCAGCGGTAGCTTTGTTATGCTACCGTAATTACTGTGTGTGTGTGTGTGAGTGTATACATGTATTTTTAATTATTATAGTTCTCAGTAAGTCACTTACAGTATATAAAAATCTTTATCTATAATTACTCCATTGGTGGTGGTTTCGCAAAACAAACAAACAAACCATAATTGCTGAATAAGAATCTGGTACCTTCTTATAATTGCAATCCATTCAAAAGATATTAAAATTTTATTTGGTTGTAAAAGGGTTGTTAGCATGTGTGTATTTGTCTGTTTTTGAATAAGTATATAAACAAACATATCATGCATATTTGCAGCAGATAGCTGCACATGTTGTGTATGTATATTTTATTTTCAACCTTGCTTTATTCACTTTAAGAACAAATAAATGATATCAAATAAATAATGGTGCATATGAAATGGTTTTAAAACATTAGAAGTAAAGAACTTAATAGGAATAATTTAAGC